CTAGGAAAGGGATTGAAAACAGTTTTTAAATCAACGTTTACGTTATTATCGTCTATGTTTCTTAACTGAAAAATAATTTGCACATTTACATGATTTTGACGAATTCTATAAAATTCTAACATCAACCAATCATAAAAATTTAGTGTGGATAGGCTCAACTTTTTTTTAATTACACTTAAAACAAATTTTAAGGAATTTGACTTTACAATTTCAAGTTTTTTGATCAAGCGAAAAAAAATAATTATTTTTTAACAATTATCGAAATAAAACTTAAATAATTGATAATGTTTTATGGCTATAAAGCTTTAAAAGTGTCAAAATGTTATAAAGTATAGAAAATACTAATATAAACATCTGGTGAAAATGTAAAGGGTCGTCGGTAATTTTTCCTTTCAAAAAGATTGAAATTAATGGATACAACATTTTTGATAGATATAATTCAAATATATTTTTAAGTATACCTACAGGCTACAGTTGTACAAGAGTTTTCTAACTTGTGAGATAGTATAATTTATTTGATATATACACAATATATATACTATATACATAATATATATAATGTGTCCTATTATAACTATCTGTTATACGAGTAATAATTTATAACTACTATAATAAATCACAAATTATAAAAGTGTGCATTTATTTCAAAACATATAGTGATCGAAGTATCGAACTTGATATAAACTAGTACTTAATAAGTTGGTTAGTTGTTATCACCCTTCCACCAGTCGAACGTCGTTCTCGAACATTTTTTATCTACCATAGCAAAACTTTCAAATATAAGTCAATTTATTTTTTTATAATTAAACTTGAGCAAACACAAACAAATATTAAACGATATCCTAATGATCTTTTAAATAAAATTTCTTTAAAATTATCACACACTCACGCTTTTAATACCTATTTGTTTTAACAATATGTTTTTGTTGTATAATTCGAACGCATTCAAGTATTTATTGCAGTGAATCGTAAATAACTCAAAATAATTCATTACTACCTACAAATAATAACAATTTTAAAATTATTGATAAACTAAAAATGTTCTTTATTTAGGAACGAGGAAAGCGTGAACTAATTCCTTTTTTAAAATAACTTTCCAAGCACTGAAATAAAACCAATATTGGTTGATTCGTATTTTTGTTGATAGTTGTTCGACGTTGTCGGCAGGCGGAAATTATTAGTATTTGTAATTTGAGCTCATAGCTTCTCATAATTATATTAATATTTACTACTATAACTTGCTGTTGAATCTATCCACTACCTCACTCATTCCTAGAAGGTTAAAAATAAAATGGCTAAGAGACCTGCTCAATGCTTAAAAAAAAGAAAAGATTAACTAATGAAAAACTATAAAAAAAAAATTCAAAACCTAATTTCTGGTCAGATGGCACTGCTCTGGAAGCCTTCCTATTAATGTTATTTTATGTCTAATATTCTTATGTCACTACACTTACTCATTATACCTTGCCTGTTGCATAGAATATAGATTGTAAATATACTTTTTTAAATAAATTTAAAAAAAAATTGCTGTTGTTGTAAATATTAGTAAGTATAGCTATAAGAATAAGATATATACATATTATACTGATGTATCTGCATGCAGTGTGGATACTCTGTAGATTTTGTATCTACTATTGGGACGATTTATACGATGTAGCGTAATGGCACCCCGATGTAGGGCGATGGCAAACAATAGTACCTATACCCTGCAACGTTGGTTGACGATCTAAATATTATAAATGTAACGAAAACTTAAACCGTTTAGGTTAAAATCTACATAAACATATGGTATTATTATGTATGTAAAAGTTAATTTTATATTTAAATTAGCATTATAATAATATAATAATATGTTTCAGAGGAACAAAAGCTGCATATGTGTGCAGACTTATCATATTATGCTCTATACGGTTTTGTTTTATTTCGTTATCTCTTACTAATCCTAGTTACAACTTACAATATAAATATTATATACCGCGACAGCATACACTTGGTCTAACAAACACTGCAAACTAAGCGTGTATAAGCCCGGGAATCAAATCATATACGTAAATGGTGGGAGGGGGGCACACGGCGATGCGTACGTAATTTTCAGTAAGCAATTATTTTAGTCGTCATGTATTACTGTAAAGACACTTGTACCATAATAATATATTATTATAATAAGTTCTCGTCCGCGGGTCGACTCACGATATTCTATACACATATATTATAACACATACGTAACAATATAATCGTGATAAGAATATGAGGGACTGGTGAACCGAAAACCCGTCATAACTTGTATTATTTATATTTTATTTATTTAACCCTAGTGTATAATATTTGTAAACATATTTATGTATTAATAGTATTATATTAAGAGTGGACTATAACGAGATTTCGTCGTGTAAGCGCATACGGTCGAAGCGCCATTCGAAGAAAATCTGCAGTTCATTGAGAGTGCAAAATGTATCTACACTTACCCTGCCACAGTGCTAAGGCAATAAGGCCTAAATTATTTATAATATTACCTACTCAGAAATAACAAAATTATATGTATATGCACAAAACAAAATACGGGTGTATAGAGCGTACTCTTAACCGACTGACTTGTGACAGCCTGTCTGTGGAGATAACTGTTCCAGGACAATGACTTATAAAGCTATCGATGACAATTGACTCGTAACGATTTCCATCACCTATTCTTCCATGGATCACTGGGAAATCCTAACCATACCTACGTTTACAAGTGTACACTTTTCAATCGTTTGATGATCAGCACTGATGGACGAGGATAATATTTTGCCAGACTCGTACTTGTGATTGTCGCTCAGAATTTATACGAGTCTTTATAAAAGTATATGATACGTGCAAGAAACCAGCCACCACCACTAAACAAGTCAAAAATATACCTTGGAAAAACGCCATCGCTGTGCCAATATCAGTTTTCCCGATTCCACCGAAACGTTGGGGCGAGTGGCGACGCAATATATATCTTATTTATATATCGGTATATACATAGTATATATATATATATATATATAATATTATATTATAAGCGTGTTATTTTAACGCAACGCAGTAAGTGTATAGCCATAAAATCGTTTTTTTGTTTTTTAGTTTTCCCTAGACGGGTTTTTTCCGGACTGTTTGTACAGCTTATTTTGTACGGAAAGCGCGTCGCGATCTATAAAACGGACTGTAACAGTAAATGCGTATATTGAGTCGTAAACGCCCGCGGGCCGGAAACACGCGTTTCTGTAACGAGTATGGATTGCCATAGATAAACCAGAGTAAGTTGAACGAGAACACACCGACTGATACAAACCAAAAACCGAATGAATTTTGACCGAAAACATTCGCACGTCACAATAAACTGAACGTAAATAATAGTTAAATAATAATAAAAGTTTAGTAATTAAATTGTATAAGCTCAACTATAAATATTTATATATATATATATTATGCTCGCAAGTGGCGATGAACTTCCGCGTGTTTACGGTGTGGCACGTGGACTGAAGAGTGGCGATAGGGACTCTGCGAAGACATGATATTATTAATGTTTGATAACTGCTACTATACCATTGATTATAAAATAGTATTTATTATAATAATCAATGCTATTATACCTAAACAGCGATGAAGTCTCTAGATAGCTTGTTACGGCCGTACCTTAGAGTAATAAAATACTAAGTTATATGTCATTATATATTATTATAGTAAGTAGTTACACTACTCTGATTATGTTTAATGATTGACGCGTGTTCTTTTTTATTTCGCCACACGGAAACAATACCTGCGTTTTCCGTGTTTTTTTTAATTCAAATTACATATTATATTTAAACCAACGAATTGATAATGTATTATTCATGTTTATGTTGTTTGATATTTCCACAGTAAGAATCGTGATGCAATATTATTTTTTTATTATAATTCAAAGTACTTTTTAATTTAAGCGTGTTATATGTTGTCAGACTGATTTTATAGAATTATGGCTCTGTCCTCTACGACCTATAGCGCAGCTACGATTTCTTTCTCAACTTGAAACAGTTTCACTTAATCTTTTGAGGTTGCCAGCTTATGTCGTTAGGGTGACCATGTTTATATATGTGTATGAAAAACGGGACAAACAATTTTGACTTAAATCTATAAAAAAAAATACCTCCAAAAATTATTTAATTATTTTAAATGTTTGAGTAATGTTTGCATACTAATGTAACTTTTATTAAAAATAGCAACCTCTATTCTTCTGCGTTGCTAATTTGAATCCATCCTTTTATTTTTCTTAAAATATTAAACTTCTTTCAATCCAATTAATAATATTATTTTCCTCAAATTAAATTGTATTACTATATTGTTGTAGTAAGTTTGTAATAACTGTATGGAATTTTTGTTCTTAAATAAATAAATTAAATTACTGAAATAAAGGCTCGAAGTTCAGCCGAAACTGCTTGCGCACCCTTTGAAAAATAGGATCCCTCACCCTGTTGATCCATCCAATTCAATTACTCCATTGTTCAGTTAATAGTGGGTGAACCATTCAACGTAAGACGCTTATTATTTCAAGAACTATTATTATTACTATTATATTATTATGAATATCAAATTTTGAACAAAAAGTTTATGACTTTATGAGGTATACCTATTACCTAGGTATTTAAAGTTTAGATGACCACGCTTAATGTTGGTCCACTACAGACTTTTTATAAATAAAACACTATTCCTCCGAAATTTGTATAGATCGAAATATTCCTAATAATATTCTGCTTCGGAATAAGAAATTAGAATTGTATGTTATGTATAGTTGAAAAAAGAAAAAACTTTAGAAAAAGATAACTACAAAAAGTATAATCATTTTTCAAACAAATTGTTTATTGTAACGAATTTAAAATATATACCTATTGTAAAGGGAATATTTTCGAAAACTTTTGTTTTTTATTTTTATTTTTTAATAATGAGTGTTTTACCTTTAATGTATCCCCCCATGGCCCTTGTATACGTATTATATAGGTACTTACCGTCAGATCGTGCAGTTGGCGGTTACTTCCGGTGTCAAAACAAGCTGTATGCGGCTGCAGCACCGCCGCGTCCAGATGCGACGAGGGTTGTTCGCTGCGCTGCACCGGGTCCTGCTCTTTCTGCGGCTGCGGTTGTCGGGCGCGATCACCTTCGTCGTGGCGGTCGGGGTCGTCGCTGTCGCACCCGACCCCGCCGCCGGTTGTCGGTGAGTCGGCCGTCACTGCAGCCGCGGTCGCGGTCATCGTGCAAACGGTGTGGGTGACGGCGTCCCGTTCCTGGTCGGCCGCTGCCACACCGCTGACGGTGACACGACGGCCATCGTTGTTGATAATATTAATCTCGTGCTGGTTTTCGACACCCTGAAACAGGCAATCAACGAACGTATTATATTATTATTATTATTACGGCAACGCCATTGTAAGAGTGCAGTGTAAATGACACTCAAGGGATGGTTGAGGGGACGATTCCGAAATTATATTTAAATCGGGACAAAGTGCTTTTAATTAAACAGGACGATTCGCCAAGCACGTGTATCCCTCTTTTTTCATTCAATAATGCAGTTATTAAAAATCCGTCTTTTGGAATTTTCAAGTAGGTACCTACACCTGACTGTGTATAGTATTAAATGGAAATTGTTTGTTTAGTTTTTAAAGTATACAATATAATATAATATTTTTACAATTTAAAGAATAACAAGATATCCGTGAGGATGAGCGAGTTTTTAGTTCTCTGTTTAAACCTTTTTTGAAGTGATGCCGTGATGGTCTAACATTTGGTGGATATAACTATACTTGGAAAAACAAAATGTATTCGGATTATACCTTGGATATTTAATTATTGTATCCATGTCGAATATAAATGCAGGGAAAATACGATACATAATATAAAGTATGTTTTCCAAATACTGAGTTGTCACTTGTCAAACACGTCGTAGGGCTAGCCGAAACGTAGTTTTCACGGCTCCGGACTATATGCAACTTGTTACACATGGTTATATGTTTGGCAGCATCGTCGTCGAAAAGCGTTCAGGAGAAATATTATAAAGGTAATATTATTATATTTATTAAATTATTTTACAGAGTGGTATTATTTAGTTCACATGATACACTTAGTTAAATGAAATTAATATAATCGTTGTCACAGCAATAGTTGTACAACGAAAAGAGCAAGACAAAACTATAACGGTGGAATAAATATGGCTTCATGGAATAACTATATTGCTAATTTTACAGGTGCAATTGCATTTTACTTAAAAAACATTTAAATAAAAAGAAATAAAGGTTGAACTATATATACATATGTGATTGGAGAGTCGAGCGTCGTGAACATAATATATTTTTTAATAATTTTTATAATCGATACACAGAAATGATTAATACACTCGTCGGATGTCAACTGTACACAACACATAACCGCGGTTATGAGAACACAATATTTTACATTTTACAAACCATTCTTATTTCTGGCATTGGTAAGTACCACTTGTCACTATTCTACAGACTATATTGATGTTCTCTATAGTAATTCGAATTGTTATTCATGATGTAGGGATGACGTTTGAATTCACAAATAAAAAAGCGTACCCTGCGGGCGTATAATTTATACATCGTATTATATTATAATTATACATGTTTGCATACGCAGGCTCGGATTCCATCAACAATTGGATAGGTACTACATTCGAGTACATCACTGACGATTTCAAGTGAATGACTTTGGAGATTTTCGAAAACACGTTATGCACTCATATGCGTCGGACAAAAAAAAAACCGCTTTTGTACGCGTACGGTGACATAATATAAATAATAATTTACTTTCGTACGACACAATGTAGCCGCACGTAAATTCAATCATTCCGACCTGCAGAATCTTTATTTGTTTAGTTTGTTCTTTATATTTTGTTTGGGTGTGTTACTTACGGGTAAGTGCGTATGGTTAATTGAACGAAATTTAAGTACGCACCGTAATAGCTGTGCGCACTACCGACTTTATAATAGAATTTTAAAGTCTGCGGAGAATATAGTCATTGGTCTTTTGTTTGTTCGGAAAACGAGTTTCGGGTAAAAAAAAGTTAAACAAAATTACACGGCACCACAGTGCACACCTTTGTATACAATTTCTATACACTTAGAAACATACTATTGTAGCTGAACACTGCGAATTATATTTTCAACGGATCATTTTTCCAGGTTAGTATAATAAAACCACGAAAAACAAAATCTATAAAAAAAAGCGAGTAGATGTATGTCGCTCTGCTGTACAGTAGGTTACAAGTGGGTCAATGTATAATGGATTGTGTTTAACTTGAATTCAATGATAATATAATATAATTGTATAAGAAAAACGATTCTGAGCGGAGACGGTTTATTGTCAGTCTGGATATTTTATATTGTTATTATTTATTATATCCTGTAAGTTGAATTAATATTATAATATAAATAATATAATACATTTTTATTCGTTTCTATGATGATACACAAAGCATTAGAAATTAAAATCCCATTTTTAGCGGTTTTTCGTAATTTGTCCGTGGTTTTTCTCGTGGCATTAAAGAACTAACGAGAAAATCGAAAAATGACCTCTATAGTCTATAATGTACCATCTTGATACAATTTGCTAAAAGATAAGGTATTATATTATATGTTGAAATCGAATAACTCCTTCTGGTAGACATTTGTTATACAATATAAAAAAAAAAAATGTAAACACCATCGTAAAACCACTAGCTTCCTCGCTTCGCTCAGAATCTAAAATTAAAACTATAACCATGTAGTTTGAATTTTTAACAAAATATTGAGATTTTATGAGATCGGAATCGTTTTTAAACGGGTTGTTCGTAGGCTTAAAATTTAAAATTTAATTATTGCATGCGTATACAGTTAATTAAACTTAATTTATTAGAACTGCTGTATCTAATTTTTTTTTAATAACTGAATGTTAAGTTAGTTTTGTAAAAAAAATGTCGACGCCGGGCTAGTCTTATCTAAAATGCGTGTTTGGTGATTATTTTGAATTTTGATGTACTGTCATTTTTGATTGGCTGTGAACAGCTGTATATGGAATTTATGAGTATTTAAGCCGCTAATCGCTGCAGATGGCAAGAAATCCATTAAACTGTCATTTCCAGGAAAAACGAAACAATAAATATTTTACGTTGTCACAAACTTGCACTGTTCATGTTCTCGTTCAGACGTAAACTAAAATTTATCGTAAGAAGCTTGCAGGCGTTTTGTACTGGGAATTTTCTAGTAATTCTTGAAATAACCATAAAATTGATTCTCTTTGATTTCAATATACACCGAAAACGCTCGAAAATATTTTGAAGTTAACAATTCAAGTTATTAGTTATGCTTATCATTAATGTTTACAGGGAGATATGTATATTTATATATATGGTAACAATCATTTAAATAATTAAAGAATATTACATATTATTATAATGTACCTTTAATACATATCCACGGTGATATCTACATTCAACGCTATACCTACACTCTTTATTTTAGAAAACACTAACGTTTTAAAGTTTATTTTACATAATTTTAAGTGGTTGCTAAACACAATTTTTACTATTTTATTTTGTTATAATTTTTTTTTTTAAGTTTTTACTCTTATGAATGACAACATACATTTATAATTTCACATTCCTAAGTAGAATATTATTCAGCATATTTCGGAGTATTTGGAGTAAACCTGTACCACTTCACTCCACTCATCAAATTGTAATTGGTACAATAAAATTATAACGATAAAAAATGGTAAAAAATATTATTTCAAATACGTTAATAATAGTTTTTTTGAAAAATTAGTGTCTATTATGTTAAATGGATCATTATCGAAATACGTGTCATGGTTGAAATATACAGGTTATTGCATATTATTGACTCGGATTTTTATCATCAGAAACAAAATGGCTGCATAAAGGGGTATCACATTACAATTTTTTTCTTATCATCAAAAATACGCTGACAAAAGCTAACAAATTCAAAATTCCCGAGCATATATACTTGATTATTATTGGCTCCCTTTACGCTGGCATTTTTGTGTTTATCATCAAATGTTTGATTGAGAAGAGGTAAGTATATAATATAATATGCAATAACCTTGTATATTTCAACCATGATATGTGTCCCAAACTCCTTGATCAGGGTCTAACCCATAGAGTAATATTACCCTACGGTCTAACCTCAATTAGTATTTATGTATATCAGAAACGTCCAAGTCAAAACATTTTAACGATTGCGTGTAAAAAGGATAAACAAAGTGGTAAAATGTAATAATTGTATATGGCCGAATATTGTAAAATTGATCAAGTGAATTCACAATAGGCTGATCGTTATAACTACATCAGTATAATATTGTTTCTGCTATACAGGTACAAATGTACAATGTTGCGTATATCCATCAACATATAATATCAAAACCCAGATACATATTATTCATACGTTTTTATCAGAAATATACACACATTAATAATCAGTCACAACCTCAATGAAAAATTAAAACAACTTCTGTATTTCCGTAGCGATATTTGTAAAAATTATGGTTCTACACGACGACACATCAGAATCGACATATTATTGGTTGTTAACATATTGGTTGTTTAATATTTTATCACCAATGATAAAATGTGAGCATAATCGTGAAATCTAAACAAAACAAATCTATATAACGCAATATAGTTGCCTATATACCTAAGTGAAGGTGTGTAAAAAAAAAAAACTATAAATGTTTGCTCTAGCAGTCTAGCCAGTAGCTTAGTGCGCTGATGGGTGTTGAAAAGATTCAGATTTCTACAAAACATTTAACATGTTGTCATATATGATTCTATTTCATATTTTATATTAAAAATATGAAGATTGATGACTATACACTAGGAGAGTGTGTAGAGCTCCGCATGTTATATTTGAATATAAAATTAAAAAACCCTCTGAAAAAAAATAATTTTGGTTACTCACCTGGCCCGTTTTTGCCCATGTGATATATTTACAAGAGTCGCAACCGGAAACAACTCTAATACCCTATTATATAATTATAATAATATATAATGTTATTATCGTTACGACAAAATATAATATGTCATTTCGATTCGATGCGAGTAACACGGAATATTTTCCGCTCGTTCGACACGCAAAGTTTCAGGATAAATGTCTCGTATTATATTGCGTTTTATATCATAATATAATTAGGGTGTATACGCAGGAGGGTTCAAAACAAATGTACCTAAATACAAACACCGACCGAACCCAATTCTTTGTTGTATTAGGTGCTGCACTGCTGGGCGTTATTATACAGGTGAGCGCTAAAACTTAAATCATTTACGAATGAAATTCGTGTGCATAATTATATAATGTTATGT